CCCCCCCCCCCCCCCCCCCCCAGCTGGTCAGGTGATACACCCCACCTAAGCTCCCGACTATTGGAGCCCTGCACTTGCAGCCCTACGTCCTCAACCACCTCAACCCGAAAGCTGCTGTGGAAAACCACTGCTGTCCCGAGGCAGAGCGGTTTCTGTTCTGGTCGCCAGAGATGCAGGCCCATTGTATTTAGGGGTTCCTTGCAGGGATCTATCGGGGTCACTATGGGGGTTTTAGGATTTCGGGTTTAGGAATAGTAATAGTACTGTTTCGGATTCGGGGTTCAGTGGTGTAGACATGTGTAGGCCATGCCATGAAGCCTTCTTTCATCTGGCTTGTTGCGGAATTTAGCAACGGCCATGCAAAAGAACAACAAGAATAGATTCAACCATGTTGACGGTGTTTGACGTGTGGATGCAGCAACACTGACCAGTAGCAACATTGACCTTGAACTGCAGTCAACAACATCATCTCTTCTAATTCGCGAATGAATCACGACCATGATTTTCCTCAACGGTATATGAAGTCCGTTGTATTGCTTGACATATTTTGGCCGGTACTGTTATGATGATTATTGTTTTGACTCTCGTGTTGTTTGAGATTCCGGCGTGCGAAACATTGGCAATTCTGACAGCGCGAGTGGTAACGGAAGCAGCTCAACCGTCAACCTCCCTATCCGAAGCCCGCAACCCTGAAACCCTAAACCCTGAAACTCCCGAAGGCCTAGACTTATCTGCGCCCTAAACACTCCTTAGATAGCCCACGGGAGAAGTTTAAACTCTTTGCGCTTATATATTCGGTTTATCTTAGAAAGTGGACTCGACTGTCGAAGAAGCAAAACTCCCAATCCCTGTACTAGCACTGCGATGCAACAACGCGAAATCTGCCAGTAGATGCAACCTATACTCTGCACACCTAAATGCTTCAAAACCCGAATCCCCAAAAGTCCAGAATGTAGAGGTCAACACCATTGAACAACACCCTAGATGTCCAAAACACAAAGTCTAGGTCGCGAAGGCAAAACTCCAAACGTTAGCCTCAGCCCCTCAACCTCCCGAATTTTGAATCCCGAACTTGCCGTAGCCCCGAACCTGAAACCATGGAAGCAGAAAGCTGAGGGAACACCGAAACCCAAACCCAAAAGCCCTGAAGTCAAGAATCCTCAACCCTGCAAGTCCAATGCCCTGAACCTAAACCCGAAAAATCCCTACCCTAAACCCCAAGCACGTTATAGGGTGTAGGGTTTAGGATTTATCCCTAAACTCCAAGCCCGTTATAGCCGAAAGATCGTAGGAGGAGCCTGTTTTCGCACCGCCGCGCGGCGATGCTACCGAGGGGACACCTTGGTTCCGGACTGAGCTGTGCTGAAAAGGAGTAGGGCCTCCATTTAGGGTCCCGATTTGGGGTTAAGGGTTTAGGGGTT